GGTCAATTGGTCACTTCAGTTATACCTAATAGTTGGATTTAGAACCAAAGATTGAACCAATGATGTTTTAGATCCAAAGGCGGTAAATGTATACACCACATTTCCATGCAGGAATGTAATATATCCAAGTGTTTGTTTTGTTGAAGATATTAGTGACAACCATTTCTAGCTGACAATGATAGTGGTGCATGGCATGTGTGCATATCAAGTAAGAGTGTTAGTCTTGAACACATGGATACACACAGTAGAGAATCAGTAGCCAAACAGAGCATCTTCCTTGGAACCCTGCAAGGCTGGAACACTTGTGGACTTCTAGGAAAAAGGATGCTACAAACACATATTAGTCTTTGTAGATTTTAAATACCTGAACCTGGTACAATTGTATAACTGAAATTTTATTTTGAAAATTATTAATGGATTACTGTACTCAGGGCTGCCTTTGAAGAATGAGGCTGGCTGCAGGGAACACACAACTCACTTGTTGCAATGGCTCCACTGTGTGTAGACATTGAGATTCTCTCTCTCTCTCTCATTCTCACATGACTTCATAAGATTCTTTTAAAAAATATAAAAAACTATTACTGAAACTTGTAATACTGGACAGATGGGTGAAAATCATTTTGCTTGGCCCATGAAGAATGATTTCAGTATGACAGTTTGCAGTTGGCTCTGCAATGACCTCAACATTATTTCCCCCCAAAGCTTTGCTTGTCAATGAGTCCTCATGGATTATAAGCTTACTCAACTTACTGGAACCATTTTTGTTAACTTCATATAGTATATGGAGGAAATGCATTGCAACGTCTAGTATTTTTACAGTTGTTCATTTTGGCAAATTGCCAACAGCTGATCATTTTCCTGGGAAAAAGTAATGTAAGAATTCTGAAAATGAGCAGGTATGCTCTTAACGCTACATTTCACCTAACACATTGCTTAATGAAGTATTCCTTGAACATCATAACAGTATCATTATTTGTGCAAAACTCCTGTACAAAGAAATGTTCAATTGAGTTCTACTGTATGATCACAATAGATTCTTTTTCTCTCCCAGATAAATTTGTCTAATTTAATGCATTAGCACAATATGTCAGCTAACAGAATAGGACAACATGACAGGAAACAGACTGGCTAATGAACAATGGCTGTATATAACATCTGGTTCATTAGTTGAATAAAACACTATAAATACATTTTCATGAGAAATATGACTAATTCATATGATGAATTGTTCAACTCCAATGAGGTTATATTTTTATTTCATTGTTCAAATTACATTCTTTGTATGTAAAAGTTCAGATTTAGACTTCTGTCTTGTCACTGTAGATCATATACTGTAGACATTGTTGAATATTTGTTCCAATGTTATTTCCTGCTGAGTCTAACAAAAACCAATGCAACTCCAAACTATGATGCTTCAGGTCAAAACTTAATCCCCATCCTTCTCAAACTGTTTCTGGTACCCATTACTGCAGTTACAGATTTATGATCTAGAGTTACAGTTCCCTCACTAATCTGTATTTAGTAAGACTACATAGGCATGTCTTTGGGCCACATCCCCTGAATCACTCCAGAAATCACTCCTGGATGTTCACATGCCATTCAGGGACTTCCAGCCCCTAATTCCAGATAAAACTGATTAACCCAAATTGTACCCTGCCTTAACAGAAATCAGAAGCTCTGGAGCACCATTGCTTTTCAGGGTTGATGTGAACAGCTGGACTGGTTCTAATTTGAATCAGTTTAGATGTTCACATGGATTAGTGCTAACATTCAGTATTCCTTACAGTCCACAGCACAGGGAAAAGAGAATGGCACTCTCCTCCTTCTACCATCCTCTACCCAGGGTCACATGAGCCCCACTAGCTGGTCTGGACCCTGCTCCTGTCACTGCCATGGTTGGCAACTGAGTGTGAAAACACCTCTGTGGAATCCAGGGCTGCTTCAGTCTGGCCTCGGACATAGATGCCCATGTAGATCAGCCTCAAGCATCCTCAAACTGCAAACCTTCAGCTGTTTGAGCCTTCAACTCCCAGAAGCCCTAGCCAGCTTGTTCAATGGTCAGGAATTCTGGGAGTTAGAAGTCCAAACAGCTGGAGGGCTGTTGTTTGAGAATACCTGTGTTAGCCTATGTACATGCCACCCTAGTCTGCCTTAGGAGAAGGCTGGGCAAAGGAGATTTTTTAGCTAGTAATTGGGACACCAGATGGCATTCCCACCCTTCCTTCCAATGATGGCTGTGGCTATCAGAACCAAGAACCCTGTCACAAGTACTTGCCAAAGACTTGCTCCCTGAAATGAGATGGAAATTTTGACCTCCATACACCTTGATCATGAATTTCCATTCTCAGATTTTGAGACTAGCTCTTAGGGTAGACTGAGAGGTTGGGTTGAACCAATAATCATTACTTAATATATATGATTTTCACTCTGTCATCAGATCTGAGGTGCAAAGGATCAAATAAGTGGTCATAATTCAGGTAAGAAAAAAAATAGAAGTTGTTATCCTAAAGCCATTTTAGGTACTTAATTCTACCTTTTTGCTAGATAACTATTCTGGTTAATAACCTCTTGAACACCACATCATTTTTGTTTTATATATGCTTTTTAAATATGACGGCCTATATATAAAATGTTTCTACATTTCTACATATATGACAGACTTTTTGCTCATTTGTTCATCACCTATCTATACTTGTCTCACATAAGACTTCACCAAGAAATAACATGCCAGATGGATGAAAGTCATTTTGCTTGGCCTATGAAGAATGATTTCAAATTTTATCCATTTATTGAATTTATATTCAATATTAATTCAATAAGAAATAAATAGTAGGTCTTTTACTTGAATACCTCCTGAATATCACAGACCGAAACCATCTTCATCTCTAAGTTCTTTTTGAAAAAATCATTGAGCTAAGTAAACTAATATTCTTTGAAGCTTGTGATAGTTGGAATTATTAACTCTTTCTATTAGAATTTTGAAACAGGCAAGACATGCAAACACTACATGTGTATACTGGAAAATCATTTAAAAAATTAAAATTTAATGCTAAATACTTTGCTAGCATGTATGCTTTGAAAGTTTGCATTCTGATTCACTGTTTCACAGTCAGTCCACTTTTAAAAGAAGCATTTATGTTAATAAGGGTGTTATGTGGAGTAATATTTCTTTAATGGGCAAATCCATAAATGGTTTAAATCAGGTACAATAATGGAAACTTAGAATACAAAGAACGAGTAGAGAAACGACATGAAACTGTTTCACACAAAGGCAGATAAACTTAAGGAACAATGTACCATGTAAATCTATTGCAACAATGAGTACAAGAAAGACCTAGACTTTTTCCTTAAAGAGAAGTGGCTTTTAAAAAAACCCAAGGAAAATGGGGTGGGTATAAATCAAAAAGAGGTCTGCTGGTAGCTGCCTTTCCTGTTCACAAAATGTTTTCTCTTCTTTTTCCGCAAGTGAAAACATTTAATGTCACAAACCCAAATTAGGATTTAATTTCCTAAAGTCTGGAAGTTGGTGTCATGTGGTTCTTCACTCTCAGGCACTGAGGTTTATCACATACTTAATATTGAATAGTTTGAAAACATGCTGATCTTGCAAATAGAAGGAGTGAGGCACTAGAATTCATTTGATCACTAAGGTTGGCGGAGAAGATAAATAGGGTAAAAAGAGTATTAACAAGCTCCCTCTTTCCATGCTCTAAAAAAAACTGTGCCGCTAGGCATAATAAAGCGCATTAGTTCCAGCCATAAAGTACCCCAACAAAATGAGAAAGACAAAGTCCACTTGTCCCCAAAAGAACCTGGAGCAGTAATCAACCAAGACAAATTATTCAGTAACTTTTTTCCAAAAATGCCACGTGCCTCATGCAAAACAGATTCTTGCCTCTATTTATCTACAATACACAGACCATACTTTTTCTGGATTCCTAATGGTTTAAAAAGAAATAATATACTTAACCATGGCATCTATGGCCATTCAACTGGCTATAAACTACCCCATTTCTACTTTGGAAGCTTGGATCAAATTGTAACCAATAGTAATGCCAAGTAAGGTGTTTTATTTAGCTTGTACTTTTCACACAGCAGCCTTAGGTAGCAGCGGCTGGGCAGGTGTGCAGGGCCTGCAAGACACAACTTGGTCTGAATATCTAAGCTAGGCTCCTGCCCCCAGGATGTCTTCACAGTGTCAGTATTAAAAGACTATGACCATTCTTGTGTGAGCACTTTCATGAGCATAAAGACAGCAGGTGAACACTAGCAAAAGCTATCTCTATCAGTGCAGGTAGGTTCCTCCCATCTGCTGAGGTACTTGGGAATAGGCATGGTAGGTTCCTCTCCTAATGGGAATGGTTTCCACTGCTGTTCCTTCTAGTACACCTGCTGGCTTCTAGTGCTTCCTCATGTTGACATGGTTGTGCGAGTCAACAGTTTGATGGCCCCAGTCTCTCATTGCCATGGTTTCCCAACAGTTAAAAAAACCAATTTTTGTCACATATTCAAATATCTGCTAATATTCTATCACTCCTTAGCTTCAGCACAACTACTGAGCCTTCAATCCTGCACCAACTTTCCAAGGAGTAAGCCTCATGTAATTCAGCTCGGCCTGCTTCTGAATACACATGGATAAGGTGCACAACAAAGAGTTAAGGAGGGGGTGGGTGACATTTGGATTACAGTTTGAAAAAAGAGAGATTGTTTAGTGCCAAGGGAGTGGGATGAAAGTTATTGAAGTTGTCTACAGACATTATAAATGTGACACTATAAAAAGTTCAAAACCAGACTAATCCTGGCATTACTATTTCATGCTGTGTATTTTAAATGAAAGAAAAAAATAGGCATCTTTCCATTATGAAGGGGAGGCAGTAATGCGTTATATCTAGCTAGATCACATCTTTCCATTGTTCCTGCAGTCTGACCTATTTTTCTTTCTTAAAAGCAATGCCACATTTATAAAAATAGTTTCCAGATATCTCTTATAGGCCTCTTACCAGTACACTGCCATCAGTCCAGCGGAAGTCACTTTCATACATCTTATCATTCAAGCCAATCCACTGGTAGTCATGTCCTAAGCCTGGACAAGGGAAAGGACAAGGGAGTCTTTAAGAAAGCAACAAACATTCCCATAAAAGGGAACTGTCTCAAAATGAAGACATTTTTTATAGAATGAATCAGGTTTCCTGTGTGTTCTTCAGAATAATTTCACATATATATTTGCAGAGCTTTTAGTTTTCAGACAGTTGTTTGTTAAAAGGTTTGTACAAACAGGAACAAATTTCTTTAATTTTAGTAATACAATTTAGTGAAAGAGTGTCATTTTGTTGCCTGGTAACAAAATCATATTTTCTAGGAAAGCAGAATGCAAGACCAAAGTTGGCATAATTTAATAGGAAATGCTCCTGTTTTATGCCAATCCTAAGTTCAGTGGTAACATTCAAAATAATTAACTAGTTCTGCCTATTATTTTAGCAAAATGTGTACATGTTAACAGTATATTGTAAATTATATAATTCATAATTGGAAAGATGTATGTAGATGTGCACTTCTCTCCAGCTGCAAAAATGGGAAAGATCAGAACCAAGCACTCTCTGGATGACCCTCCCTATATTTAGCAGCAGACTCTCTAGTCTGTAGCAAAACCAGGGATGGTCAGGAAAGCTTTTAACTTGCTGTTGCTGCCATTATTGGAGAAGGCAACCGAGAAAGACTCAAAGTGCATCCTAATTAAAGAAGAAGGCACAGCAAAATGTTTCATTTTCTGTCCCCACAACAGATGGTTTGAGGAACCTCCCAAAAATTAAGAACTGGGTTGGCTGAGCTGGGCAACCCTGCTGAGTAAAGCACCACTACCTAAATCCTAAAAAGTGAATTTCCACAAGAAAGCAAAGCATGTAGGGTGTGAATTCTTGGCTCTGCCTTTTCCTCTCCTCTGCTTCAGCCCCCCCCCCCCCATTCATAGATTTTCTCAGTAGTGTAGATACCTTCCTTGTATTAGTTTTTGGGTGGAGCACAAAAAAACCCCAGAGGTCAGAATTAGTTGGTCTATTCCATTTGTCTGTATAGAGCTCTCTTGCTGGACTCCTCCTTTTTTTACAATAGAGCTGCAGAGAATACTGGCTTGGGAATTGTCTGGTAATCCTAGGCTGAAGCAATCCAAAAACAGGCATCCTTACACCTGCATTCAGCAGTATTGTTATACCACCAGTCCAAAGGACAACAGAAGCTTGTGACCAACTTAAGCTTCGCAAGAAAGAAGGTCAACATCGTTTATAATAATCACTTTGCACCAGAGGCAGAAGACTCCAGAAAGATGACTGCAACCAACAAAATTTCCTTTTGTAATGTATTGTTTTAAGTTACCTTATGATAGTCCCGGGTGGAGTTAACTCTTTATTCATCTTGTTTGCAGTAAACTCATTTTGGTTATCTTTTCACCTTGCCTAAAGTGCCTCTGTGTGCTAAGGGTCTTGATCTTATCAGAAGGTATACAGACAGCCCCTGAGTAAAGCCAGACACAATAGTTTTGACAAAGGCTCAGCCCCCCTGGCAATGAGATTCCAGGGGGGCTTCCAAAAGTGCTATGAAAGGAAATCTTGTTTCTGAGCAAAGGTATGGATGGGTTCAACCATTAACATTGCACAAATAAGTGAGGGCCAAAAAATGATGGCAGTTATGATGCCTGCATCTGACATAAAACACTTGCAGAGTTGATGAAATAAAACTTCAGATTCAAAAGCACTGTGAAGTGTTTAATCTTGACTAAAATGTGACAGAAAGCTTTGTTAATGAAACCTATCACAAGTATTAATGTTATTTAGATGTAAAGTGCAAGAACAGAAAATGTGACAAAGTACAAAATAGCAAACATTGTGACCACAAAAGTTCTGTTGTAGTTCTCCTATTTCTTCATTACCTATAATATTCAGCTATGCCATAGTGTGCACCAATCTGTTCAAGGACTGTCCTTATTGGTGACGTCATAAAAATGCTCAGAAACATTTGAAAGGATCAAGGTGACAAACCCGCTAGCAAAAAAAATCAACAACCCAGAGGATTTACAGAAGGCAACCCAGATCTGACATGAAGAAATAATGTCTTTTTTCCAAGAAGATATTCAGGCACTGAACATGTAACCCAAATATTAGTACTGCTAATGAAGGGTATTTGGAAACAAACCTTATGTGCATTAGTCTGGAATGTTACCTTTTCCCTTCAAGTATCATCTGAGACTGAAATAAATGTCAACTACTCCTAAAAGAATATAAAGTAACTATTACTGCTTTGCTAGTAAGGAATAGTATTACTAAATTGTCTGGAGATGAGATTGTCTAAACAGGAGGCTGAAAAATCCAAATAAAACACCTTACTTTGGTTTTCTCTTAATCTCTTTTACTCATGAACCAAATTCTTTAGGATTGTAAAATACAACTTTTTTTCAAAGATCAGCAATTTTGTTCATCCCAATTAATGAATACAACAGACCATGGGGCTAAAATGAGGGAATAAAGTAGTCAAGGACAAGAGGTTCTCTAATAAAAGGATAAATGATAGCACACATTTTTGAAAGCAATATATAAAGAAAATCCTTAGAGGCCTAGTGGGTTGCATCTTTAAGTACTGTATTGGATAAAAATGCCACGTACGGTTCACAAAAATCTGCTCTTCATAGGAGAGGATGCTTGTCAGATGGGCTCCCTGGAGGCGGCATTCTCTCTCAGCTGCATCCCATGTCCGCCGATGGGCAAAGTATTTGTAGCACTGCCCTTGGAACTTGTGCCACCCATAATCACAGGTTTCAGTGTCTGGAACAACCAAGCACAGAACTTTTAAAATTAAACATAGGTTGGCAAAGCTACCAAATGAATATATCAGTGTCAAAAAGAAGTCAAAAGGAAGCACTCAAAGACATGACAATCCAAGAAATATCAAATATGCATACAAACAAACCTAAACTGACAATTTATAACATTTATGTTATTGTCCTTTTTGCAATTGTGCATCTCAACACTTTATCCTTTATTGAACTAGGCTTTGTTGACCTGATGGCCAGATTTGTTGATGTGATGCCCTGTACTCATGTTTGGAAAATAAAGGCACATCATATAATGCAACCAGAAGCTTGAACTCAAGAAATCTATAAACCTGTGACAAGTAGCAACTTACATGTCATCAGATCTATTTTGGAGAGAAGACATGGCTCAACACCATGAATAGCTCCTCTGAACTTCACACTATAACCCACTGACATGGAAACTGTCAGCTGCCACTCATAACATGTTGGTTTGGTACTGCTGGGAGCAATCACATTAAAGTAATACTTCCAAATGCTGAGAAACATCACAGACCAAAGTATTTGCCATATATTCACAGGCATCAGCTATATTGGTCTTGGAAGGTTTTATGACAGCAACAGGCTCTCCCAGTTTTAGAAAAAAGGAATATCCTAATTGGAAAAGGGTATAGGCTGCCACTTCAACAGAAGGAGTTGTGGCTGTTAAATCTTCAAAGAAATCAAGATTTATATATAGCTTTTTTGGATTAGAGCCACTGTCTGTATGTTTTCCAAATGTATATCCTTAACTATTAGTGTTAGAAAGCAGAAAGGGAATTCTGCTACACCAGATGCCAGATACCATATTCCCTATGGAATGGAGGACGGAGAACAACCCTGTCAATGCCAGGTAAAAGCTAAAAGAACAATAAGGTTTTGTTAACAAGCTCCACTACAAGGAATCATCATAACTCACTAATTGCAAGGATGAATATGTTATAATTTATCCAAACAGCCAACAATAACTTTCCACTGATTCTAAGAGTGTGTGCTTCCAGACTGGTGTAAAGACATATGACTTTTCACAATATAGCTCCTTAGGGTTTTGCCAATGTCACTTACACATCCACTAATTACATTCTTTGAATGGGCTGCTTTTAGTAATTGCTAGAGGTGTTCCAAAAGTTGGTTTAAATAAGATGACACTGAGATTACCCTAACTTAGGAAGACACATTTTGATCCTCGTTTAAATTACTTTTTCTTAGAGTAATAATATTATAACAATTTCACTGACAGACTGATGGACAACAACACCATAACACTAAGAAAATAATCATAAGTTAAAAGGAAATGTGGAGAAGAAAATGAGCCTCTCTTCTTGTTTTGGAATTCATGAGAAATAAACTTTAAGGAGGGAATACAATACTGCAGCTGGTGCTGGGAAACAGTTTGGGGAAACAGAAGCATCATTTAGATACTTTTAAAGCCCTAAGAAGTATGGCAACAAACATCACGATGTCTTAACACATTATTCCCATCTAGAGGAGACCTATATAGAAACAAATCAAATCAGTGTAAAATTCACCAAATTGACTTTGCTTTCTTTCACGTATTTCCATATAAACATAAGATATCCCCAAATCTTTATTTTTAAATGGGAAGAGAACAGATACGTGGATAAGATGCACAGTCTATTTCCTCTAATTTGGACATGAACCTCATAAAAAGAAGTAGATTTTGAGTTAGTTTGACTCTGTTCCACTAGTTTCATGAATAACTTTAGCTGAGCTAGGGTATGTGAGTTTGATTTTAGCACACGGCTGCAAGGCACGTACATTATAAGTAGGGAGAAAAATTGAATCCTGCTGGATTGGTGGGACCTAATATGGAAGTGCCTCCTACATTTTTCCCTCCCACTGCCTTCATTAAAACATTTTTGAGTTGCTCATTTCAGCAATGTGGTCTGGAAGAACCAATGACTGAAAACCACCATGAAAGAAAAGAATTCTCATTATGCTATTCACAGATGTAAAGCTGATGTGCTACCTCAAAAGAGATGAAGACTAGCCAAATTATTATTATATATCCCTAAAGGACAAAATTATAATAAACACAAGATCTTATTTGCTGAAGGCAGCTGTAAAAATGGAACATAAAATAATGAAATGCACATTGATGGATTATACTGATAAGAATGCACAGTAATGAAGCATTTGTACCAGCCAATAAATTATCTCTGCTAAAGAGAAGCAAACATAAAGCTTGGAACTGGACCATTTTTTAATTGGTTTGTGTCACTTGCAAGGAGGCATTTTGCTAAAATCCCAATATTCTTTTGAGCTGTTCCTATTGCCTCAGGAGATGGGCTTTGGGATGGGACGTATTGTCAGACCTGACTACAGACTGTCACTATAGTTGTTTTTAAAATATTATTTTATATATTTATACATGGTTTTTGTACCGGCAAATACCCTATGTAACTACACACAATATACATATTTTTTAAATGCACAGCTATATAAAATGGCATATTTTTACATCACCCAACCTAGCTGGAAATCATGAATGTGGTTATTTTTCTTGCACACCACTAACTAACCAGTGATATTGTGCTGCCTGGGAAAACCGTTAGAAATATTTGACAAATCCTTGCATAATCAGCATGCAAAGTACTTGTGTGGGTGTCAATTTTAAATCATGAAAGGGAGTCTAGCCTGTCTATTGCATTATAATAATATTGCAAACACTGAAAGTGTTGCTTTCTGTTTTATAGAGAGCTGCTGGTTAGTTGTATTTCTGTAAATGCTGTGAAATTCTTGTGGCATTACTTCCATTGACATCATTCAATTACCGGCAAACCTGTTGGTAATTACCAGTAAGGTTGGTGTAGTGTAGTCAGTATAATGAAATGTAATAAATGTAGTCATGAAGCCAGATTTGACATAAAAGTGGCTTTAGACATCGGCACATTCGCCCACTTTCCCAGTCAAGGGGAATTATATCTAAACTGGAGCCCCTGGTGGCACAGTGGTTTAAACCCTTGTGCCAGCAGGACTGAGACCCAACAGATCGCAGTTCGAATCTGGGAAGAGCACGGATGAGCTTCCTCTGTCAGCTCCAGCTCCCCATGCAGCTCTTTGGGTTAGAAATAGGGATGAGCGCCATCTCAAAGAGTTGGACATGACTAGACTTAATGTCAGGGGAAACCCTTACCTTTAGTTTATATGATACTTATGAAAAAGGTTTCCCCACAGAAACCTTATGTATAATGCCCAAAGCCCTCTGTCTACTACCCAATGCTTGTCTCTGCCTCCTCCAGTGAAAAATCTTACTATGCTCCTGACAATGGCCTTCATTTTACAAGCATGTAAGCATAAGTTGCATGCCATCTATTAAGATTGCCGTACTACTAAATTTCCTGCAATAGTAGAGGATTGAACTAAATGGCCTTGGAACTTTTTTCAACTTTTTCTATGGTTTCTATGGTTTGTACAGATTATGAAACAAGCACACAGAGGCCAGGAACTGTCTTGTTTTTTACCTTCCTGGTCTGATTAGAGTCCCCCTGTAAATCCTATTCAGAGCAAGCCTAATATCAGATTCCAGAAATGGCTCCACCTTGTTGGTATTTTAAATAAACAACTATAGCAAGCCAGTCCAGTCTCTACAGAATTCAGTCCAGCCACTACAGAATGACAGAACTTTTCCTGCTCCTTTTTCATCTAGTTCTGTTCAGCTGAATGGAACTCTACTGGAAATTATTGACAGTCAGAAGTTTCTTTCCTTCTTTAACTGCAATGATTTATAGGACAACACAATGGACAGAGGGAACAGGAAATAAATACTTGGTCTTTCTTATAAACTGATCTTTAAAAAAAACAGTAATGCAAGAGTCATTTGGTTTGCTTAAGAAAGACAGAAGAATAGAGGAGAAGAGAAAGTAAAACCATGGATAGATATATTGTCCCAAAGAGAAGATTATCTGCGCACAACTGCATCTGTGAGCTTCTGGCAATAGGTTCAAATGCACAGCTGCATTTGGTAAACATCTGCATTTGCTAAGAGTATGTCTGCTGGGATTTGGGAATGTGATGGTTCAGCTTTAACATTTAGATTAAAAGATGTGAGACTTGGAAGCAAATAAACGCATTAGACTGCGAGGAAGAAATAGCACCAAATAGAGAAACAAAGATAAAAGGGTGAAAGAAAGCATTTCCAGTCTAAACAATATGTTCTACTCAGGTTCAAGAATATTGGACTGTTGATCAGGCTACATTTTCTCACAGCATACTTTTTCCAAAGACCATTAAACTAAAATAAAAGAGATTACGTACAGCCCATTAGTTCTTCGACTGTAAATCAAGTATGGGAATTATCCAGACCTGCAGATAGTGTCAAATTGCAAGTCTCAGCATTACTCAGTGGCTAAGCTGACAAGGGTCATTGAGAGATACAATACAACAACATCTGGGGGACTGCACAGCTTCTATCACTGTTGTAAATAAATGGTTCAGTACAGAAATTTATTCTGGCTATAATTTTAAACAGCTCACTCCTATGAGGGATTCAATAGCATCTCTTCATTTACCCTACACAGGATTGATATTTTGCAGATTGTTCAAATGACCACACACAAAGATCAGTGTTTGCCTTGTGCACTGAGTAGGGTCAGATGAATCTGATGACTTACAAGGATTTCCCCCTTAGCTTCTTACTCTTCTAGTCTTACATTTGTTCTATTTTGATTCCATGAAAACTCTGCATGAAAGTATTGCTTTAATGCATGCCGTTCTGCTGGTACTTTTCCCTCAAATAATGCCTGGTTTGTACTTTATATTAGTGTTATGTGTATTTCAACGTAAACTTTGCCAAAATGAAATGCATTTAAGTACATGCATTTTATGGGTACAGCACTGCATGGCAAAATTTGGAGATCATGTAAAAAAAATACCAAAGGATAACTGTGTTTTGGTTTCATATTGATTTGGGAACTGGGAAATCCCAGTAAAATGCAAACCCAGATAATTTATTCTCACACTTATCTCTAAGCAAGCATATGCCACATCTGTTTCTAGCACCACCTCCACCCTTCCTATGCCACTCAATGCACGTAATTGGGCCATGGTAGTTCAGTTCTTTAAAGGAAAAAAATCATTTCTAACTGAATAAAAAATACTGTGTTCAAAGACACAGCCCCCATGGTAGGAATATTCTACCAAATCCATTTCTACTAACAAAGGTCTTCCAGGAAGAGTGTAACCAATATTGGTAGTTTTCCAACAAGTGATCCTGGAATTTGGAGCTCTATGCAAAGATGAAGTACTTTGGCTACATAATGAGAAGACAGGAAAGTTTAGAGAAGATAATGATGCTGGGAAAAATGGAAGGAAAAAGGAAAAGGGGCCAACCAAGGGCAAGATGGATGGATGTTATCCTTGAAGTGACTGGCTTGACCTTGAAGGAGCTGGGGGTGGCCATGGCCAACAGGGAGCTCTGATGTGGGCTGGTCCATGGGGTCACGAAGAGTCAGAAGTGACTGAATGAATGAACAACAACAACAAAACATATCACCTTGTTGAAAAAGGCACCATGAAGTTGCAATAGGGGCAAGATGAGGCTTAGGACTACATTGACCTAAACAGTTAAAGCTATTACTTCCTCATGAGTTGTAGGAACACTATTTGTGAACATATACATACATGGGCACATGTTCAAGACACCTGTCAACTTATGAACACCCCATTTATTTGATAAAGTTTTCTTTGGCAAAGAATACTCATAGGTGGTTTTACCAGTTCCTTTCTCTGAAATATAGCCTACAGCACATGGTATTCACTGTTGGTTTTCCCATTCAAGGGCTGACACTGCTCAGGTTCCAAGGTCAGATAGAATCTGCTACCTTTAGAGTATTAAGGATCACTGGTATAGATTGGAAAAAAATTAGAAGTCATCCTCCATGCACACTACCTCTACCCACTATTGCTATTGGGAGAATGGATAGACGGTCAACAGTTTCCTTATTTTAGTTCTGCCTCCATTTCCACCATGGAAATTAGGTTTAACTTATCCTTGACTCATTTTTAATTCTTACGTTATTATCAATTTAATGTAGAAAGTATCAAAACTGGATAAATGTCAAGTGTCTGACAAGCAGGTATCTTGTTTTACTTGCCTTGTCATAATAAATGAAAATTTTATAAGTATCTCAAATGTTATCCAGAGAATGATCCCCCCGAACACCATAAGAACTAGCAATGCATTCTGGAAAATATCAGACTTGTGAAAAAAAGTATTTATTTATTATTTATTTACCACATTTGTACCTCACCCTTCTCACCTCGAAGGGACTCAAGGCAGCCTTACAACAGGCAGCAATTTGATACCATACAGTATTAGGTACAAGCATGTTCATTTTGTGGTATAGAAAAAAAAGTCTTCTGTCTTTTTGGCTAAATTTTAGCTCTAATGAAAGCCAGTTCAATGGCAAGAAATTGAAACTGCTCGCTGGTCTAGGTTTTAGAAATTGTCTGGTAGAATGGGAAAGCTGGCACTAACCATCTTCCTGTGGTTCAAACCACTAAAGGACTGTGAGTGGAAGAAATTAAGTTTCCAGTGCTGACTGAGTAGAGGTCTGCTTCTTCTCAATCTCAAATGTACTCCTTAGTGGATTATAAAATACAAGTTAAAGCTATTGTGATTTTCAGACCATTTCAATGTTGTGGATTTCTTGGGAATATATATTTTCAGAAACATCCTTCTACTACAAAAACATTATCAAATTCTTGCATTAAAAACTGATTTCAAAAGGCTTTTCCAGCCTATGCTTGTCTAGTGAAAAATTTAAATGTAACAAAAGCTGGATCTAGCCCTATGTCTGAGGTTTCAGTATTAACAAAACAGAACAAAACTAAGTCCCTTCAGGCTTCTGGATGTCTTTAAAAAGCACTTGCAAATTCACAGCCTTTCACCCAGTAGGCTTAGGATGAAAGAAAAGCCTGAAGCCTCCCAATATTTATGTAATTATTTCTGGAGAACACTCTTGTTTGAGCTGTGAATAAATCTCCTCAAAGTGCGATGGAAAAGGGGAAGCAAAGTATTTTCCTACTTTTAGGATTATAGGTAAACCTTCTACAATTGAGGTTGAGGGAAATTCTGTACAAGTAGAAGGTTTGGTTCATTCTACTTGGAAATTTCCTTATTTTATTTGGATAGGACTTGAAAAATCATGCTGAGGACCTCATGTTTATTTGGTAATACCACCTTTCCAAGTATATGGCAAGGAAGGTGATACTAAAACAGAAACCAATCCCACAGCAATAGTGCTACGTAATTAGCATCTCCTGAGAGTCATTAGGTTTAACACATGACTGCTGGACCTAAGACCAGACACAGGAGGAAATAAAATATGATGTCTGTTTCAGAAAACCTGTTCAGTTTTGTCGACAACTTTCCCCCCTCACTTTACATGTGATAAGTTTATGTAGCAATGCAAGAATAAATGTTCAAAACCAGGGCTATTAAGAGTATTCATAAATGTTATCATACTTAAGGAGAAAGACTGTTTAAACACCTTGATGTGGGGAATGGATAAATTTACAATTGGCATGTGATTGCTTTTGTCACTATAGGAAGGGGAAAGGGTTAACATTTATTTTGTCTAAGTATGCACAAAACCAAAAAATATAAACCATTGCAAAATGCAAAACTTAACATCTGAAAAAAATATATAGCGATTTTCATGGAAGCAGAAGAAGAAAAGTTGTTTATGTACAGTATTTATATGCCGCTTTTCTCACCCCTGAGGGGACTCAAAGCGGTTTACACAGAACCAGTTATTCTTTTCTATACATGAGAATGAAACAACTGAAGGTCCCTACACTACAATCACTCTGTTTATGCTGTAAAAGGAAGTAGCAAGGAAGTATGATTCACTTCAAGCACATACAGAAGAAGGAGTGGGGAGGGGAATAAATGAAAACTGAATGCTTGCTGTTGTGTGGTCATTTGGCAGGAGGAAAATCAAGGCACAGAGGAGGTCATTTTTTAAAAATCAAATGTATGGTATTCATTGACCCAATTACTGTACTAATAGCAATTAACTATCAGGATATCACAGGAAGGTGAGATTGCTGGTCCTGGAGGCTATGTTATCTGCATATTAGCTATAATTCTTGAAGGTAAATATTTGGGATGCAACATGACACAGAATCAGGCTCAAAAGAACACATTGGCTTTCTCAGTAATAGAGACTGCGGTTCTCATTCACTCACGCCATTATGACTTCCTTATGACTTAAGGAAGGAGAAAGCCAAAAGAACACAAAAGTAAGAAAATAAATCCTATTTAATAGATAAAAATTCTTACTCTAACATTTTGACGTGTACATAATGCCTCTCCCTTTGTTTTTTATTGTTCTTGTCATAATATGTTATACTCACACAAGAGTTTAATTGCATGCTGCTCCAAAAGTGATTCATTGAAGGATGACAATAACATTTATTACACTAACTTAACAACTAATAAAATGTGTTCAGAACCTCCTGATGGACTTACTTGTTATTCTCATTTTTCATTACACAGAGAGACACAATTGAAAATAGTCTCTCACCTTTTTCACAAAGAGCCCCAACATAGCTTGGAAGGCAAAGGCAAGTAAATGTATTGAGTCCATCAATGCATGTGGCTCCATTTCTGCAAGGGCTGGATTGACATTCATCAACATCTGTTCAAGAAAATGACAGGTGTATTTAAAATTAGGTTATTTCAGTTGGAAGTTAAAAAGCATTGTTCACACATATTAAGCATGTCAAGTCAGAAGGCTCTCTCAGTAGATTTAAAGTATCTAGTAACAGGTTCCTCCAATATATGCACATAGTGCTGATCAGCATTTACATCTCAGAATTGTGAGAACACTTCTAAACTAAAAACACACACCTTTACTGTCTTTTGGAACTATCCTACATGACTGCTGGATAACACATCCTCAGTCTCTACATGTCACAACTTGAACTGTTTAGGGAAAGACCATTGTAATTCTTTAAAAAAATTATGGATAATTAACTATAGCTATTAGGGCTGTGCAAAAAATAGTTTGTTCATTGTATGTTGGATCTATTTCATAAGATCTGTACATATGATGCAAATTTCAAACTGCGGTGCCCATGAAATAAAATTACAATTCAAAAATGTAAATAAAAAAATAAAATATTTTTAAAATTCCCAAAAATCAGTGGATGTGTAAAATGTTCTGAAACTTGGAGAGGAGCATAACAGTGGCAAATGTGTTCTACAATAATAGCAAGTTTCATCCCGATAGCTCTAAAAATGAGGGAGAAAAAAAGCCTCAGAAGCTTCGACACTTGCGCAATTACATAACAAAAAAGTAAGGAAAACTGTTATATCATAATAGTTACGATAATAATAATAATAATAATAATAATAATAATAATAATCTTTATTTATACCCCCCCACCATCCACCACCACCACCACCACCATCTCCCCAAGGGACTCGGAGCAGCTTACATGAGAACAAGCCCGGCAACACATCAATAAACAAGAAGCAATAAGCAAAAAAAATACAATTAATATAACTCACATATAAATAATAACACACAAAGATTTAAAAAACCTATGGCTGGGCCAGATGTAATAGTTTAAAATTTAAGAAATAAACTCTGGACATGAACAGAGGTAGGATGTATCTGGTTGGAGGGCTTTAAAAAAAATGAAGGGAGAGCAACCCAACGAGTAGTTAAAAGTGCTTCTGAGGACATTATGCTGGAAAGAAGATATTTTAGAAACACTGTAGAAATATTCCCCCTCCCCAGTTAAGTAATGAGTATCGAATATTTTTTTTGTTCATCGCACACCCCTAACTATGAATCACTGAACATTTGCTATGATGCATACTTAAGGGCTATAGATACTGCTATCTGTTCCCACTGTTCTTGCTTCTTCCATATCTTTTCGGTGATCTGGAAGAAACTTAACATTTTATTTAGTTTCTAAGATAGAACTTTACACATATTTCAAAATTAAAACCAGGAGACACATGACCAAACAGCACCACAGTATGCTGGCTCTCATGTCCACTTATCGCAAATTATCAGGAGCACTATACATACATTTCTGTATGTATTTCTGTTTGTTAAATCTTTTTTTGCAGAGCTGTGTCTAAAGACAGCTTACAAAGTTAAAATAAGTAGTAATGGAAGTCTACATCATGAAAACATATATATATTAAAATATAATTAAATCATACAAAGAGAATTTAAACCAATTTGAAAACATGCCCATTAAAGAAACAACTACAGATAATATATCACACCATTAAAGGTTTTCTCCCACTTTGAGGTTAATTTTTTCCTAATACCAAATGAAATTTGTTTTCATTGGCTTGCCAGTACATTGTATTGTTGTTAAATGAATGTGCATGTCTTACCCTCTACCTGATAAGTTCAGTCTGGAGCTCCTTCAGGCCTTGCTGTGCATTACTGGAATAACATTTCCTGTTCTGCACAAGGAATAATTAGACACTGAAATGTCAATAAAGCATTTGCTTCTTACCTAATTCACACTGGTCACCACTGAAACCCGGCATACAAGTGCAGATGTAGAAAGAATCCCGTGGGTAGCAAGTGCCCCCATGTAGACATGGGCTGCTTTTGCATGGATCTTGACCTGTAAAATGAGTTCATTGAAAATTGCTATATCCGCAAAAAACATTTGCTGGTTCTGACGGTTCCTATGCAGAAATATATTATCTGCTTTCTAGTCATCAAAACTGCTATTGAATTTTCTGTAATTACAGCTTATGCAGTAAAACTCCCCCAACACAGAGAACAATTCAGTATATTATGCAACAGCAACATTAAATCAACGATCACTTTTCCATGTTGGCAACACAACTTTAATCACTAGTGAAATCTTCCGCAAATGACATTTTGTATATTTTTTGACAGCTGTGATGTCTACTGAAGATTTAGTTGGCATGACATGACAATTAATTATAGCCAAAACAGTTAAAACATATGTGCACAGTGAATGAAATATGCATTTATCTGAACAGGGTTAGTTTATATGCAATGATTGGGTACACAGAACACACACTCTCATACCATATTTTTGTCTGTCATCTTTCTGGGTATCCTCAATGAGCACTGCATTACCACAATGTACAATAATATATTTCATACTCTTATTTGTTTTCCACCAACTATATTCCCATCATTTTTCTTGACAGATTTATAAATGGACTAACTGAATAAGAGGCCAAAGTGATTTGGGCATATGTATGTAATATACCTGTATGTATATGCATACATACACATACATAAACTTAACTTCAGCATGGGTCACAAATATCTAGGGGCTCTTATGTTTTTAACAAAAGGTGATGCAATACACTGATTATAATATTGCATATATCAATAGTTCCTATGTACAATATAAAATAAGGTTTAACTTCTTTAAAATATCTCACACAACTACTGTAGCCTTTAAAAAATATCACATTTGAACTCTTGCTGTTTGAAGACAAAGTAGCATGTTACCTATGGAATGGGCAGATTCTAGAAATTCAGGAACCAGTAGTCGTTTCCTGGAGTCATCTTGGGTCAAAAAACAATTGGTGAGCATAATTAATTTTGTTTGGTCACACCAAACAAAAGCAGAAGTAACTGGATGCCCACTTTCAGGAAAATAAAGCAAAGCACTCTGGGTGCATTATAATAAAGAAGACTGCCCAATTTGTAGGTTTCCAAGAGTAATTTTCCCAATTTACTACTGAAAATCATCTTTCTGGTGGAGGCAATCCAGGGAGAAATCAAAGGGGTTCATAAGTGGTGGCAGAGAATTGGATTTATGTGTCATGTGTACAATATGATTCACATTTCAGCTATAAAGGCTGCAATAGAGCAAAAATCCCACATTATGTTCTTGTCCCACACAAAGTAAATTCATGACCAAATAATAACATTCACACAAAAATAGTCATGTGAATCCACCCTGCAAGAAAAGAATATGTCATGCTTCAGAGTGCCTTACTGCATTTTAAATACAAATACAACATAGAGGTTCTGTGCCCTGTACTTGTTTATTCTGTGTCACGTGCCTGAAATAAAAGATAACCAAAACTCTCCCTCTAAGTTAGTGGATTTAAAATAAGGAAAAGTCAATTCTCAGAATGATATCACATCCCACATACATTGACGATCTGTAGAGTACACAAAATTAGTCAACTACCTTTTTACAATAGTACAAAATATCCTTTTATGGGTTCTCCTTAACAGTGGGAACTTCTACATATGAAATGGTTGTACAGTCTTCACAAGCCCACACTAAAATACACAAGCAGTGCAATCTGATAAAAACAAAAGCAACCTCTTATGTTTGACAATGCTTACTCCCAGGCAAATTATGACAGGACTGCAGCATGAGTCCCTCTACATATGAGTAAAAATTTTAAACAAGGGGACCAGTGCAGATTTGGCAAGGGCAGTGGTGGTTGTTCTCTGTTTTCTGCAGTCAGTTGAGGTGTGGATGGAAATGTGAATTACACCAAAATGCAGCTTCCTTTTGTACATTAGGGTATCTTGGTCAAACCATACATTTGAATCATCATGAAGCTTGCAACTACAGCAACTTTAAAACATATACTAATGTCGATATGATTACAATTTCATTACTATTCTATAATTATTTTATCATATAACTAAAAATTCCTGGGCTGGCTCACACAATATTTTTTCCCTCATTCATGCCATGTTATTTTTTTCTTAACACAAATTTGAAAGGATAAATGTAAGATATGAACCAAGGAAACACGCATAAAGCAACAGTAATTTCCAGAGAAAGGGATGTTGTTAGAAACGGTTACCCTTGACATTCCAAATTCAAATATTACACTTTTCCAAGAGGCTATTTGCCAAAAGAAATTGGCCAGACATTAAGGAAAAACGTATTGTGTGACTTAATATTATAATCTTTATATTTTTCATATACATCTATTTAAAAGAGGAAAGAATGCAATTAGACAATATAGGTCTTACCTGGGATCTGAACTGCTGTGCCTTCTACTGATCCCTCACCTGTGCTCATCAGGAAATTTGATCCATTAGTAACATCCAAAAGCAAAAATGGTGGAGTTACAAGTTCACTTGCATTTATATCCTCTGTATTTCTTGCCTGCTTGTTATAGTCAGGTATGCTTTCAGGGCCAGGGGTTTGGGGCACATCATTAGATGAAAATGTCGGCTCCTTCTGAGTAGACTGGGGTTTCACAACTGTATCCACAGATGGTGGGGGTGAAATTGGCCATGGGCCTGCTTCTCCATCAGTACCAAAGACTCCACCAGTTTTACTTTCATGCGGTACTGAAGATGGTGTGGTGTGTATCCACAGCAGATCTCCCTCAGCACTATTTTCATCTAGTTGATGTAGCTCCTTCACCTTCTCAAAAGAAGTCCCTTCTTCAGAGCTAATTTCTACAGTTTCACTGCCTGAAGATATAAACATTGTTGGCTTTTCTTCTTTTGAAAGATATTCTCTCGAAACATTGCTTTCTTCTTCAGTAATCAGTTCCTCTGAACTTCCTGGCTTTTCTTTTGTTTTTGCTACAGGATCATTAAAAACAGGTGTGTTTTCAGTGAGTTTGCTCTCAAATTTCCATTTGAATGAAGATGTTAATGGAAACACTGTGTTAACTGAAAATTCATTCACAGAAGGTTTGTAAGTTGCTGCAATATCAGCACTAGCTTCTCTGAAGGTTTGTACCACTGATGAATCATGCTTATCAAAATCAGCTGATGATGAAGTACTTGGCACAATTTCTTCAGAGTGCTCAGAAACTCCATTGAGTAAATAAACAGTCACAGGCAACTTTGGTGTATGTGTTACTAGTAAAAAATCATCAAGATCATTTTCTTTGGATTCTGTGGTTGCAGTCTGCATATCTTCATAAGACTCCTCGGTTGTTTCTTCAGAGTTTGATACACTTTGGGACACAAGCTGTGTAGAAACAGTGTTCTCTTCAGATTTGTGAGTGGTCAGATCATGCTCTGGTTTAAGAGGTAGGTGTAATAGAGTGGGGGATGGTGTCATGTGTTTTTTCTTTATCAAATCTATGTGTTCTATTCCAGAAGTTATGTTCATAGGAGCAATTTCACTTTGATCAGCTATTGCTTGGTTGTCTGATAATGTTTGTAATTCAGAACTGTCTTCTATTGTACTTTTGGATTCTTTGTCTTTAGTTTCAACTCCCTTCTCCTTTTCATCTGCACCAGAGCTTGTTGGAATTGATACAGTAGAAGTGATTAGTAATGATATTGTTGGAAGTGAAGTAGATATCTGAGGTAGTTCTTGAGAGATGGGGAATTTTATTGTGAAAGGTAGGCTATCTCCTGACCCCATAGAATCAGATATTGCTGTGTGTTCAGATATTATGGATTCACTGTTTATGAACTTACTGGTTACAGAACTTCCTTGGATATCTCCAGAGACAGCAAGTGTATCATTGTTCAAAGTACCTGCAGGTGTTGCATTCTGGATTTCTATTGGTGATGTATAAATATCATATATCGAATATGTTTCAGAATCAACAGTTGTTCGGCTGCCTATGTCTTCAATATTTGATTGCAAATTATCAGCATCTATAATTGTTGTTTTATCAGCTATCATTCCATGACCTTCCGCAATAACATCAGTGAAGCTAGAGATCTCTCCAGAATAATTTCTTTTGTCGTCAACTATTGGAATTAATTCTTCATAGTCCTTTATGTTGTTTGTAGAACTTTCATCTGCAAATGTATATGGGAGGTCACTATCTGAAGTTGGTGGTGTTTCCTTTTCTTTTCTCTGACTGGGTGATGATACTAACAGCACCCATGATCCATTCATTGCTCTATCAGGATTCACAACATCTGAACCGTTTTCCTGAGGGGTATGAGAAGTAAATGATATTTCCTTTTTTGGCAACTGAGTAGGTGATTCAGAATGTTTTTCCAACTTCTCCAGCCAGCCAGAGCCTTCTCCAGAACCATCATGATCTGTTGTACCCAGTACTGTAGGGTTTGAGGTAACTTTGGGTGTTTTAGTGGGGGTTTCAGTAAAAGAAAAAACAGTGGTTGTATGTTCAAGTTTTATCACATGAGAGGCTTCCCTTTGAGAAATTTCATCAGTAGCAGCCAATATTTTTTCTGCATTTTCTTCCTCTTCAAAGGCATTCTTATGGTTTTCATCCTTTTCACTAATGAACTGTTTCCAGGTAGATGTTTCAACATTGGTCACCCTGGTAGTGAGGCTGGATGCAGTCGGAATTCTTTTGTCACTTGCTACAGGAAATGCCTGTGTCGTGATAAAAGAATATTTAATATCAATACCAGAATCTTCATTTGCTTCACTGTTGTGCCTGTCAAATTCTTTCATAATATCCTCTGCAAAGTTTGTTTCTGAACTTTGAGAAGGAAGCATATAATTATTTAATGTGTTTGCCTTTACAGCAGAATTTGCATCCACAGTAGTAGATTGGACAGTAAAAAAGGCACCTCCCGAACCTTGTTCTGTGAAAAATTCAGCGTTACCAATTACTGGGCTCACTGGTTTATACTCTGTAGATACAGAGAAAACCTGAGGGCTACCTTCAGTAGAATAAACACTTTGTTCCAACTGGTTTTCTTTTGATTCAAATGTTGGTGAAATCCTTACAGATTTATTTTGAAATGTTTGGGGTTTAACTGCAAGGGTTATATCATATGATTTAGTATCAGAAGTGACATAAGATTTTATGTCTTCTACCCATGGTGTAACTGGAGAAGCTCTTCCTGACTGTTCGGTTGTAGTGTCTGTACCTTTAGTGAACAATTCTTGTATGATCACTGTAGAAGTATGTGTCATTTTTTTTGGTTTTTCAGAACTTTCTTCAGCAGAATTAATTACATATTCCACAGGTGAATTTGTTGTAAAGTCTTTCCTCTCCAGTTCAACTGATGTTTCCCTTTCTATGTCTGATACATTAGAAACCTGTCTTGCACTTCCTGTATTTGTTAAGGGGATTATAGGGGCACTACTTATATTTAATGTTGAAGGAATGTCTGTAATAAACTGATCCTCTGATGTTATACTGCTCCTACTTTTTATGGTTTGATCTCTAGGTCTTTCTGTCAAAAATTGTGATAAAACTGTTGTTTGTGTAGGAGAATCTGTAAAATAGTCTATGTCTCCAGAACCTTGTTCAGTCAGTGAAACCTTAGTATTCATTATTTTTTCTGTGGGACCATCAGAGACTAGTACTATACTATGCCCAACAACTCTTGATTCTTCTCCTGAGCCCATATCTACAAGGCTAATTCCATCTGCAAAAATAGTTGTAGAAAGATGATTTGCGTTTTCTGGTTGAGCAGATTCCTTTGTTTCAGTTATGCCAGATTTAGAGCCTCTTTCAGGCTGAACGGCATTATCTACCAATATTGGAGAACTACTGGTAGAAGTTATATTATCATTATTATACTTTTCACTTAATTTGGTTGCTGACTTTATTGTTCCACCACTGTGGGCCATAACAGTGTCAGGAAACATGTTTGTCAAAGTCTCCATGGATGCTGTCAAACCAGATGTTGCAAATGCATCCATTTTCCTTCCCATTGCTGTAGATGTTGTCACTTCTTCACTTGATACCACAATAGACTTTTCATTAAATGTCTTCAAAAGAACTGGATCTGAGTCATGTTGTAACACTTGCTGGTTATTAATTGTACTCTTTGATACTTGATTTTCTGTTCCAGTTTCTATGGCTTTCCCGTCTGATTCATTACCTATTACTGGCATTGTAGGATCAATAACTATTGCATATTCTGAAGGTGATGCCAGGTCTAACTCCTTTACTTGTGTGTCATTGCTTCCAGACCTCAGTGGGAATGAACTTTGTGTAGTAGCTTCAATTATAACATCAATTTGTCCAGAACCTGGATCTATAAATGGGGCATCAGTACTTACCACTATGCTTGTGGGATCCCCCAAAAGTATATCGATGTCATATTTCTTCCAAACATCTGTAGATCCATCCCCAGATTCTTCGGTTATGGATGCCATCTTATCTGTGTCCTCTTTGACTTTTAAAAATGAAGCATTTGTTGTTGATATTGTTTTGATGTGGGTTTCTTGGCTCACAGCCCTGATATTGTCTTTTAAATCATGACTGAATGGCACCTTCTCAGATCCAGCAATTGCTGAAGAAATTGTGTTTGTACTATCTTCCTTATTATTCTCCACTTCTTCTACATTTTTTGAAGAACTTAAAAGTAATTCAGCAATAGTAACAGTTTCTACAGAACTTTTTCCGGATGTAGAGCTAGTAGTTTTGTACAATGAGGCATTATGGCTACTTTTTGTAGGCATTTGTCTTGCATCATCTGAGAAAATTTCCTGAACAGGAATCTTTTCTGTTTTTATTACCATAGCTGTAGATTTTGAATTCTCTTCTGGATCATCTCCTGAGCCTTCTGGTGTATGAACTGGGAATGAATGAAATGACTTGGGACTTTTTGTTGGTTCCAATAAACTCTTAACAGAAGAAAATGTATTGAGTGTAACTCTTAATAGAGAATCATCTTGTAGTACAGAAGCTTCATTTTTTGGTGATGTGTTGTCATCTATGGCTATGGCTACAGTTGTGGAAGGAGGTAACCTACTTGAAGTTGACATTGTAGCAGAAAATATTTTAGATTCTTCTTTTAATGTTGGTTTACCTGTGTGAGGAACTGCATAATTGTTTAACTCAGGCTTGGTAGTAAAATCACCTGAATGTTCTGCATTAAGCAAAGAGAAAACATTAGGGTATTTACTTAAGATTTGATTAAGATCTGTTCCAAACTGTATTGATTTCTCTGTTGCGTCTGATAAAGATTTACCATGTAAAGATGTGACTTGAAGCATTTTATCTGTAGTAGATACCTCTGAATCCCCACTAAAGGACAGTTCATTTCTGAGAGATTCTGCTATTGCCTTTTGGGTAACCAGTGACACAGGTTCTCCCATTATTTCTGTAGATTCATTAGGCTGTAGTGTGGCAAAGACCTCATGCTCAGATGGTATATTAGTTTCATTGATGTGGGGAAATTTTATATTTTTTGAATGTGCTAGACTTTCAATTTGGTCACTCCTTGCTTCTTCAGCTTTTGTATCTTTTGGTGCTGTAGTCACCTGTTGTTTTCCATTGATGAACTGCAGAGCTGGAGGAGTTGTGACATCAGTAGTATTTTCACAGTTTTCATCAGCACCATCATCATCATCCTCCTCCCCAAGATTGTACATTTCTGGGTAGAGATGGTCCAGAATTAAGATTTCTGCAGACTCTTCATCAGGAGTTGCTGTACAGGGTTCATCAGATGTTGATTCAGCATCTGTAGTGGGTTCATCTATTTCATGTGGATGAACTTGGTAACCAAATAAATCCCAAACTCCATATAACGGATCTGAAAAAAAAGAGAGCTTTTAATAATCCTTTTCACATGCGATTCATTATGACATTCATTATGTCATAGCAAAAAAAGTGTACTGAAAAAGGAAACAGACTAAACAATCAAAGTTCATCCATTAGAATCTAGCTATTTAAGCACTACCAAAATGTGTGTATTATATAGTTTGTAGTAAGTTCTTTTCCGTTTTATGTTATGTTATCATGAAATAAAAATCAAACAGCTATGTCAGGCCATGTATCTAATCAGAGATTCTATAAAATTGATGGATATATTCATAAATTAGGGTTCATAAACTAGATGTTGAGAACCATACATGCATAGCTTCGGTCTGCCCAGAGGAGAGGGAATACAAAAAATTTACACCGTGTACATTAAACATTCACACATGAGAAGAATTGGAAAGAAGAGATACCTCTACAAATGAAGAGGGAAAGGGCATCAACTATCTAAAAAATACATCCCAGAACTGCCTTTTCTTCTTCAAACACTACCTCTAGCTCTTCTTTTTCTTCTCCTTCCTGCTATTTCTAGCATATGGTTGCGTAATGTATCAACAGTGTCCCCACAAAAGAAAAACTTACTCAGATGGCTCAGCTTTTGGATGTACAAGTGGAACTAGTAAACTGAAGATCAGATGGGGCAGAGCTCAAGATGCAACCACTTCTTTATTATTGTTGCTATTTATTTAAAGAATTTATGTATAGCCATTCATATAAAAAGCTTTTTTTTAAAAAAAAACCCTTTAAAATATTGTAAAAACAGACAATTAAAATAGAACAGGAATTTTAAGGATCAAAGACCACAAGCAATACTACTGTCTTAGCTGCCCATCAGAAGCTTAGAAGAAACAGATCCAGTCTACTATCAATGAAAGATCATAAGGTGTTGTTCTTAATATGTTTCATTGGAGTGAAGAGTGATTGTGCTGATAAGACAGTTACTATGAAGTTTGTTATTCCTCGAGTTCCCGGTTTCCATGTCAGCCAGAATCTGGGAATTATAGTACAAATAGATAACTTTTAGGAACTCTGATTGAGGGCAATAAACTATGAAAGAAAAAAGTTTAGTATCAAGAATTTGCTGTATTTAAGCAAGGATGGTCCATGAAGCTTTTGCACAACCTGCTTCAAGGGCTCAAAAAAAACCCCAACCTTAAGTAAAAGATATAGGACATATTGCAAGAAGGATTTTTGATAACAAAATACTTTTATCTAAGTTTGTTTTCACCATACAATATGGCCCTCTTATCTATAGTTTTGATATCCACAGTTTCACTTACCCATGAACCAAAAAATCTCCCCACCCACCACCCATCTCAGGAAGTGTATGTGGGTCTCTCTAGATCCCCCGAAAGTAATTCAATTGTATGCTTCCAGCTCAAGTATAGTTAAGATATAGAAACTTACAATGTATTCATAGGGTTATATTGTATTATTAACTTAATACAAAGTCTGGAGAGCTCTTATTGTAACTGCAAGATCATAAAATGAAGGAAGAAGGTCTGGTGGAGTACAATCACAGCACAGATGAAAATCCCCCAAAATATTAGTGTTTTGCCACCATCTGGGCTCTAGTTTTAAACATAAAATTTCTGCTGAATCAATGCGACTTATTCATGAGTAGACATGCACAGAATTGTTCTTTGAAGTAGTTGCATGGAAATTAAAATAGTACTGTCTTGTGGTGCAGCATCTGAGATTATTGCTATTTCCCATGATGCCAGCAAAATGCTGCAATTACCATATGTAAAACGCTTACAAATAATTTTCTGTATCAGGAGGAGCTATCAATAACTCCTGAAAATGCAGTTGGCAAATGTATTCATCTAGCCTTGCTCTGATTAGGATTCTGTCAAGGATGTTTTTGTAGCCCTGGATACTTCCTGGGATTGCCCTGATCAAAGAAAAGAGGCAACTGCTTCTCCTGGAACCAGTTATAGCACTCTATTCCATTTTAACAGCCATGGCTGCATCCTATGGAATCCCGTGGTTTCTAATTTACTGAGAATCCAAAGCTCTCTGGATGAGAATCTGAAACACCTCTCCTTATTCTACACTATCAGAAATCCAAAGGATGGAACAGGAAGTTGAAATGGGGTTATAATGTTAGAACTGTGCAGCTTGAAAGGCCCTAGTAGCAATGCTCCTTTTAAATATGTTGCTAGCCCTCTTTTCATTAATAAGAAACACTGTTTTCTGAAGTTACCAAACAATCTTCTAGCCATTTTGGTGGGAAAGGTTTGGTTTATTACAGTCCATTCAAACCACAAAGAATCCTACAAGATCCTATAAATTAAACCCTAGATACTGCAAAGCTGGCTACCTCTTCACAATTTTCTGCTGCTGCATTTATATATACTCACAGTATAGTTCTATATGTGTGTATTTCGGAGTTTAATAAAGCTTACTCTTGAGTAAGTAAGGCCTAGAAAACAGAAAAATGGGGGGACAGATTCTTTTTTCTGGAAAAACTGGAAAAAAATATAGAATATGTTCTTTTCCAGTGATAAATATCTATGACACAGTATCCAAACAATATAATATGAAGACCTTAATGAAAGATTTCTGAGACTTTTTGCTTCTACACMCYCCCYCCCCCCCCCCCCGCCCACCCAAAAAAAAATTCTCGAAAAATTGCTTTGAAAAAAAATGGGATAAACCCAATTTTCTGGTTCTGTCCAGGCCTTCCCATCTCTAACCAGATGAAGATACTGAGTTCTGAAAACAACATACAACTGTCTGTTCAGTCATAGCACAGCTTCTCTCATTGGACATTGATGATCTTCCAGTTGAGACTGAAATGTTTTACCTTATAACATTGTCCTCATGATCTTACACTTTCTAAGTGTCTATCAACCATTTCTGTTCCATTGCACTAGATTTAAAAAAAAGTCATCCTGAGAATGTGGCTATTGCTCTCTTACTTGTCAACTATGCTATATAGTTAGTCTCTTCTAGTACATGATATTGGCTTTCCACTGACAATTATTTTCTTATCCTGCTTCGTTCCCTGCCATAGATCACCAGAATCTTCTCACATTTCTTCTTCTACAACTGGTATCTAGGCACTATGTATGATAGGAAGCTGGTGACAAAAACCAAAAGAGTCTTGTTGAGTTTCATACAGCTCACTTTCCATCTGTCATGTTGACAACTTCAGGGAGTGGCACATTTTTGCTAAAGCAGAAATGGAGAACAGATTCATAAACCCACATTCACACCATATTTAATGACAGGAAAATGCTTGTTTTCTTTCCACTGATTAGAAGAGATGGTTAGAGAGTTTTTAGATTCCCTTCAGTTTCAATCTCCTGCCCACTTCTCACTTGCATATACACATGGTTTTTGCACAAAAAGTAATGATACATTGCCAAGCTCAGTTTCTTGAAGGCAATCCTGAATAAGAAGGGGTTTTTTTTGTACAGCTGGCTTCTAAGGAAATGAAAGTCAAGCAAGTTGGGTGGTCAGTCTGGTATTCAAGGCCTCTGTTTCAGTTACAGATCTTGAATTACAGCATGTCCCTGTGTGTATTCCAGTGGAGGACTAAGGGGAAAGTGCATGTTTCAATTAGCAGAATCTTCTCATATTCCAGGTCTTTTATGAAGTCCTCCTTTAATTATTTGGTTAGACTAGAAACATCTGTGTAGAGCAGAATTCACCAAAAGAAATATGCTCACATACTTTGGTATTCTGATGGTTTCTGAGTCCTACAGCAGTATTGGCAGTGAACCCAGGTTTTAGTCTGAATCTACTGTCCGAGGTGCTGAATGTATTTTGAAGCTAGAATTCAGCACCCTGGATAGGTCCTTTACAGATGACTGACTCAGAGGAATTCACTGCCTTCCCCTCACAATTGGAGCCACCAGCCATAATAGTTTTCAAATATATCTTCAAATTCATTCATTTTAGTTGAACACATTTCTGGCTGGTATGTAATCTAGTTATCCTCTAATATTATTAATTAGTGTATCAGCAATACCTTAATTCATCTCTATAATCTTTACTTCGTAGGTGCTAACATTTGCAGCGGAGACCTAATGAACAAGAAACCTCCAAGTTACTCTGTCATTAACATGCTTGTAAACATTTTGGAAACTCAAGGTTGCAGATCCTTGACTGTGTCTATCCACTTGTAATACAGTTTTCCTCTTTCCCTACTACCTTTTATTTTATCAAGCAATATTGTATTTTTAATTAATCATGTCATCTCATGATATAGCCAAATGTTGACATTTGTAGTCCACACCCCCCCCCCCTTTTACACAGAATGCAAAGCTTGTTTTCATTCATTTGATAAAAAGGGAGATTCCAATTAAACATTAGGATGAGTTTCCTGATGGTAAGAGCTATTCTACATTAGAATAGACCAGTGGTTCTCAACCTGTGGGCCCCCAGATGTTTTAGCCTTCAAAACCCAGAAATCCTAACAACTGGTAAACTGGCTGAAATTTCTGAGAGTTGTAGGCCAAAACACCTGGGGACCCACAGGTTGAGAACCACTGGAATAGACAACTTCAGATGGAAATGGACTCTCACCACTGGAAGTTATTAAGCAGAGGTAGGCTAGGATTTCTTAGGGATGCTTTAGCATGGATCTTGGCACTGATAAGGAATTGGACTATATAACTATTGTGTTCCCTTCGATAACTTTATGAAAAGAACCAATCAAATCCCTCTGTGTTCCTAGATACCTCAATATTTGAAAAATCCTATCATAGAATGCTCCCATCCTCAGAATAAATCCATCACCTTGAAGTGGTCTTTTAAACATCAGTCTAAAATCTAGACTGGATTCTATCTGACATCAGAGTCACCAGCCTGCACTGGTGCAATGCAGGTTGAATATAGAGCCACAAATGGACTGTCATCTTTTCAGTTTTAGATATATCTACAAGTTCATAACAAAAATCACAATGAGTTAAGACAGAAGACCAAATCATCAAACAGGATAGATATTCAATGCATAGTTAAACATTATTTACTTCAGATTCTAAA